TCAATCACTTTCTTCTAGCAGATGACATTCTGTATATTGTGTAGATTCCGCTCGATACGCACAGACATAATTCAATCCCCAATCTTTTGTTACGCAATAACCGTAAAATTGAGGCGTGTGAAATCGCATTCTTTTGTAACAATTTCGTTCTCGCTTGAAAAGGACACTAGTCCAGGTTTTCGTTACCTCACATTCTATCAATATATAAACATGAGCGCTATATAATACGCGCTTCAATGTTCATATACCCGTGCGATTTGATATTTCTCAGCAAAAATATAATTTTGCACTAAAACTTTGCAACTTATTTTAGCTTATGTATGCTTACAATATGCTAGTCTTTCTGCACACTAACAGAGTGTTGTAGGTATAGTCGATCTCATATGACACCAAATTTAAAATAGTTGCGATAATTAAAAAGTTTTCACGAAATCGACAGTAAACATTATTTTGCTCATGGAAGTTTGTTATTGGTAATTTGGGCGCCAGTCGATATTTACAGGTTTTCTCTTTCATGCGCGATCTGCTAAAAAAAACACTATCCAAAAACTCAGTCTTGACTGGTCGATCTGGCCATAGGGAAACTATTATCAACACATATAGGTGCAATTTCAACATCTTGTGAAATCAATTAGAACATTTAACATTAGAACACCCAACGCGTAATATCATAGTCCAGGTGCAAAAAACAGTTATAAACATCATTAAAATATTAAAAATAAATACACCGTTGTAATTAAAAAGCAAGATATAGACGAACACTACAAAATGTTATCACAGTTACTGGACATTTTTAAAAGCGAAGGTAATCGTTACATAAATATATCAAAAATGGATACATTTCAGGTTGTGAGGGCGTCCACATATTTGTTCAATCTATTGTATTGCCTTGTAAAACATCCAGAGATCAGTCGGATTAGCTCTCTTTGTTTTTAAGAACGCAATGTAACTTGATTCGACAGGAATTCAATGAATTGAACCACAAACAAAACTGATTTCCTTTTTTAATTCATCGATGTTTTAGGACATTTACAGAGACATTCTTTCTTGACGATTGGAATTTTCATGCCTGGTGTTTTTTATGGTATTATAGTGGTAGTCAGGGCTGATTTTCATCTTACCCAGATTCGACGAAAGTTCGTTTCATAGTAGTTGTGGTTATGACACAACAATTAAACCCGAGGTTGGTGCTATACCAGTCAAAAAGCATCAATTCTCATCGAGTTCCTTATTTAGAACTGAAATATGCTACATCCTCAATGAAATTAAACCTTAATTTTAGAATCTTGGATTCCCTATTATAATAATAACTAGTTTTGTAGCAAATATCGTAAGTCTGACCAACAATTGCTTGAATGGCAGGCATAGGGCTTCCACTAAAGGTCTTTTACATACCAACTTTGCACGTACTATTAGTTCTTGTCAAGAGTTTGCTTGAAGCGAAATATTAAAAGGACTCGTAAAAAAGAAGACATAATACCTACATTTTTGGATTCATTCTTAGAAAGATCGTTTTTAGTTTGTCGTCAAATTAATACATTTACAGACCTTTGTGTTATTTCTTTTGTTCATCTTGTTTCCGATACAACTTTGGTTTGTCGTCAGTTCTAAAAACAAAAGATTGTGTTGATCGCGTGATGGTTGTCCACAGCGCCGTATTACGCCAAATTATTGAGGGTTATTTTTAACTTTCATATTTGTTATCAGTCAGTAACCAGTAATTTATATCTTTACCATACTAAAATACTAACTATACATACACAAATTCAAAAAATAAAAAAGTATAATCACACTTCAGGGGGAAAGGAGACGCAGAAAACAAATTCTCGTTATCTAGCAGAGGCACTCTTGCGACAGTCCAACTGTTCTGCTTCTGTATAATATAACAATATAATATAACATGATAAATAGAATAAAAACGAACAAAATATGTTATTTAAAAAAACGTTACGTCAAGGCGACCTGGTATATGCCAAGTAGTCGCCGTTTCAACAAAAGAAAGTCGACTCCAAGCACTTCAAAACTAATGAGATAAATACCTAATATAATTCTCAAAAGTTTCCAAAACATTGTCATATAGTCATCTTAGGCGCACAAAAACCGGAATTGATTGTCAAAAAAGTTCCCATAACGGTAAATTGCATTTGAAACCAATCTCTTTGTTTTATCATAGAAACAGACTAACCGCCTATTATGACGAAACACCACTTATTTATAGTTGCAAGATAATGGCCACCATTGTGATATAACAGCCCACTAAGTTCAAAAGCCTGTTGTTGAAGACTCGTTCATCATCAACTCGTAATCTGGAATCGTCTTGGGTGTTTATTGTCTGATACGACCGCCATATTGTGGGTTATTTATATAGGTATACTTAACGAATAAATCGCTTTGCAGTTCATAATATATGGTCTGTTTACGGTTTCAAAATTTTATCATTTGAGTTTATTTTGAATTTTTAATTTCATTCAATTTTTTATTGTGAAAATAGTTTGAGACACCCTATGTGCTAATTGTCATATACTATTTCGTTTGTCATCGGTCTACCAGCCTTAAAAAAGCAAACTCCATAGCATAGCTATGTGGAACGTTTTTTCCAACGTTCATAAAGTTTAAATTCAGAGTGTACATAAAATTGTAAATTATTTCGATAATGAGCTACAATGTCTTTTTTACAAAAGCTACAAAAATTACCGCACGAGAAATCGCGGCTTCCCCTAAGTAAGATTGTCTTCTCGTTAACTGGAAGTGAAAATATTAAGAGCAGCGTTAGCTTTGGTCAATGTCCTGTGTGTCGTGGTTAGATAATTTGCTACAAAATGTTGGTTAGACATTGCGGCTAGCCCTAAGTAAGATTGTCTTCTTTGCGTTTCCCTATGTTACGTTTTCTGATAAGCAGAAAGCGATGACAGACATAAAGCATTGTTACTAAAGAGTTGTTAAATTAAAACTAGTCCGTCGAATTCGACATGGCTATCGAAACACACGTTGGCTTATCGAACACGAATTGGAAGTCGTTTTTTTCTTGTTGGGTTACTACTTTGTTTTTGCTACACAACTAATTTTTGTATCTGTTTTTTAATTTTATTTTAAAAGGTAATTTATCGCTTCATTTTTCATCGTTTGATATAGGTAAATATGGAACAATAACCCAACTTGACTTATCTCAACCAAACTAACCTAACATGAACAGAAAAACAGATCAAAAAAACTTGTTTGTGAGCGATAACTGAATAATAGCCCTAACTTAACTTATTCTACACCAAGATAAGAAAAATTAAAATAAAACAACTAGGATAATAACTGGATAGTTCCGTCATATAAAGAAACTCTTACATAGTCACTAAGCCATTGTGACCGAATAAAAAAATATTTCAACCGATACCTTCCCCGATTTTATGCGATAAAGTATTGCTTTGCAAACTACCATTTTAGGATTTGACAAGTCTCTCATCCCACCTCAAGAATAACTAGCTAACAATAAGCTACAAATAACAGATAGTAAGGTGAAAGTATGTTTTATTCAAAAATCAAGTTGAAAATATACTTGTGAATATTTAAAATAAGATCAAATCTGACAAATATTTTAATTATCTTCACGCCCCCTCAAAAAATTGTCTACGCTCCCCCTCTGGGGCGCGACCCACCGTTTGAGAACCACTGCGATAAATCATTTCGTAAGTTAAACTTTATTGCTTTTAAAATCAGGCTTATTTTAGTGTTTTATCTCAGACAACTCGGTGTGGTCTGAGAGTATTTGAAAGATTTTCATCGTTAAGAAGAATTAGGGAGGGAGTTGTTGTTTTTCTGTTGAGCGATTTAAATTCCAAAACTTATATCAAGAGTTCAAAGATTGAAAGAAATAATACTTTCTCTTGCGAATGTATTTTTTAAAAATATAAATAAAGTAAGCATATGGCAGAGATGTATAATAGAAATAACGTTGATAAAAACAAGTGGGCGGACAGAGCGAGGTCGGCGAGGTCAACCGGATTGAAATTATAACTGTTAAGATTTTTCAGTTCAACATAAAATTAATTATGCAAATAACCTGAGAAATGACTGAATATACCTTTACGCGTTTGTAAGGCCCCATGCACTCGTTCAGAAGCGACGAAGACTCGTAACTGATCGAATTTTCGGGCACTCACTCAGAAGTGAAGAAAAATACCCATCTTACGTGCACTCACTAAAGAGTGAAGAAGACTCCTCTCTGCGCAAATTCACACGCACTCGCTCATAAGTAAAAGAGACTCATCTCTGAGCAAAGTTACACGCACTCGCTCATAAGTAAATAAGACTCATCTCTTAGCAAAGTTACACGCACTCACTCAGAAGTGAGTGAGATCCATCTCTCAGCAAAGTTATGCGCACTCACTCAGAAGTGAAGGAGACTCTGACTCTGAGCAAGTTCAAGTGAACATAACAGGCTTTAGTGATTAGGACGTTTCGGTTCTTGTAATTCCAAGTAAAGCAATATTTTCGTGCCTGTTTACCATCGTGATATCATATTACCCGCCCTCGGATTCGCTTGATTAATTTTTTCGTTATGCTTGAGTTGTTTTTAACATTAGTCATTTTTGTTGTTCGAAGCTGGACTAAGTGTTACGACACAAATATGATAATTCTTCAGGATAAACATTTTAGCGAGCGCGATGTCTTTTTTCTGAGTAGCGTTTTCACGCCGTCACTCGGAACAAAGCTCTGGGAAGCAGTTACTGATATACTGATTGAAACGCACTACTTTAGGTCCTAGGTGGCTAATTCTTTGGATATTGAATTGGAAATGAATTCCCGAACCCAAGTTCTGCAGATAGTGTATTACCAGCGTGGCAAAAAATATTAATTACTGATATTGGTTGTTTGTCATAATAAAATGAGGGCCATATAAATGGTTAGTGAATCTAAATTGAACAAATTTCAGATTTATTTAGAATAGTAATATATAGTAGTGGCCTCCGGGTCCGAGTCATTTTGTTAACCAGCTCATTCTTTCACAGTTTCATCGTGTGGCGGAACACTGGTTGGTCCCACCGGAACTTTTACGTCACCAAACTATCCCCACTCTCCGAAACGAGCACCGAATGCAGCGGAAGTACGTACGTCACTATCAAGTAAAGATGAAGATATTATTACGTGTGAATGGAAAATAAAAGTACCTGAAGATTTCGGTATTCAACTTAATTTCGGGGATTTCAACATGGGAGCAGGGCTGGATGAATGCAGCAAAGGAGAATTAGAAGTTTTTTCAGGAATTGATGAGAATAAAACAAGTTTGGGTGAGTTATTAGGACCCTTTGTTCAACTTGGGATTCCTTTGGGATTGTCAATTTAAATTGCTTGTCTGAGGAAGTTTGGCTCTGATTTGGTGAAAATGAATGAAATTAGTGAAAGTGTTTACTTGTAAAGTTGGTTTCATTGAAAAACAATTAGTAAGTAAAGACCGTTAGGGGAACGCAGCTACAAACATTTTTTTTTCTCAAAGCAAACAGCTCAACTAACAATGATATTGATAAGCGCTGATAGGAAAATTGTAATTCGTAAACAGCCACCAATGCGCACATAACTGTATATGTTCCCAAACCACGAAATTCCAATGAATATTCCCCGAGCATCGATTTCCTTGTTTATTTCTGTAATCATCAGTAAAAAGTAAACGGTGATATAACAATGGCAATTTTTAAAGATATACAAGCATGGTTGTAAAATTAGTCTCATTTTCGTGGTTTTGCGTGTTATTTATCAGATTTCAGCTGTGTTTCCAAAAATTAGTTGTGAATGCAGTAATTTACTATGCTAAAAGTAGATATCAGTTCGTGTTAGCGGCACCTGGTAAAAAATGATGGTTTTTATCATGTAATTCAGTTTGTATGTGCAAAATTTTGAAATAGTAAAGTATAGGAAGAATTTATCTGGGGTCAAGGGTCGGGGAAACATCCATAGCTTTCTATAAACTTGGGGCTTAAACCGGATTCCAACAAACTGAATAAACAACGAACGGGAAGCTTTGATTGACAGATCCTGACATGGGAACTTGACTTAATACTTCGATTGGGATAATTTCAACCAACAACAAAGTTTCTGCGTTGAAATAGAATGCATTATGCATATTTTATGACGCCATACCTGATGACGCCATTGATACAGATAGAGGAGCACTCTTCCTACTTTCAGTTTAAGAATAGGGACATTGCTTTAAGCAAACGAAAAACATGCGATTTGTCATTTCGCCAGTTAAACTCTTGTTCCCATGAAAAAATTCCAATTTAATGCCACCAACATCGTTTTAAAACCTTTTCCGGAGTTGACATATCATCCCCTCTAGATTAGGAAGATAAGTAGTCTGTAGTGGGGTGAAGAGTCTTTCAATATTCCCATTCGAGTGCTTGATCCGCACTTTACTGAGCGATTCAGGCACTTAATGCCTTTGGTCTTAGATAAACAATTGTCGATATTTCTGGAAATAAGATGAGATGTGTTGATAATAAATGGCTCCGTTGAAAATGTAATATAAATGGCATAGTTGGCTGTTATATTAAAAGAGAGAGAGAGAATTTATTTTTATTTTTTTGTCGAAGCAGAAAACATGATAACGATACATATAATAATAAAACAACATACAAGGTGTCCATAAAGCCCATTTGCAACTTAATTTTGTTATGAAGTCAGTTCTTAATATATCTTTACCAAGTTTGTTGTTTTTTAATAAGTAATTGTTCAAGTATTTTTACTTTCAAGTATTTAATTAATCTGTGAGGGCCAAAACAATATATGGTATCGATATGGGTCGGGTACCACCCATGTAACATGTAAATCTTGTCGTAGTATATTAAAGATATTGGGATCGAAACCCATGTTGGTCACTTCGTAGGTAGGTGTATATAGTTGCTTTTAATCCATGGATGCCAACATGTACTAAGACTTGTTTGGAATAAAAAGCGTGAGGACGCCGCCAAAAAATTCCACTCAAGTCAAGTTTATTTTTCTAACCAGTAAAAAACAATCGAATAAAAAATTTAAAAAAGAGAGAGATAATCATATAATTTCACTGGAGAAGGGAAGTCGTGGGCAACCAAAGCTGGTTATTGAGCAGCGACGCCCGAGGTTATAATATCTTATTAAAAAGTTAGTTGTATTGTTGACAAGTTAAACGACCAATACCACTAATAATACCGGCAATTTGTCTCGAAGTTTAAAAAAAATATGGTTTTTAGGAATCAGTCTGAAGAGTCTATTATTTCACTATTAGTCTTACCACTTACTTTACCACGTGTTACATCACCGTGTTTATGAAATATCATATAATAGACATTGTGTTTCGTATTTGTAGAATTTTGAAAAGCAATATTTCAAGATAGCTTATTATTGAAAATTATTATTTCTGATCTCAATTTTTCATAGTAAGATGGCATTCCACTCACTACAACTTCGCTCCGAAGGAGACACTTGACTATAAACCACAGATACGTCAGAGTTATCTATTATCAATCCCATGATCACCATCTCGCGCAGGGTTTATTAAACTTTGTATTCAAGTCAGGGGGGGGGGGTGTTGAGAGTGAGTCGGAAGCCCTTTTTTGAACTGTAAAAAAAGCATTTTCCCATATAGCAATATTTCGTAGCTTGAAACGAGTTTTAGACGATTAGGACTTTTGAAAACCTACGTTTTTTGTCCAGCAGTTCCCCATTCTTTTTGTTCGTGTGACGTCAAATTATCTTATTACCTTACGCAAAAATAGCTGCTGCTTTTAAATAAAACTCAATTTCGTGATCGTTAATGTGTACTTTAAGCATTTTGAAATATGTAAACATGTACTCTAAAGAATAAAGGCAATGTCAACTCTTTTCCTCATCTCTGCCCAATTTTCCCTTGAAAAATCACTCATGTTCGGTGTAGGAAAGGAAAATCTTCAGGTCGCGAAATTACGGCAAGTAGTGTCTACTCATATTGTTGCGTACCAGTTAGTAGTCCTCAAAAAAGATTGTTATATATCAGTATCTACTTGCCTGAAGCATTGTTCAGAGTGTGAGGCGTCATAGATAACATATTAGAATTTGTCGCTTCAAAAGCATGATACCAATATGGAGGTAACTAATTTTGTTTGCTTATTTTACATCAAGTCGTGTAAAGGGACTGAAACCTATGAGCAGGGGGTATATTCACTTGGCTAACACAGATAGTACCCAAACTCGTAATTTAACTAAAATAAGGAGAATCGGATTAAAATTATGGCCTAACCCTAACCTGGTACACATACTACGACAATGCCGAAAATTCCCACCGTCCCCCCAGTCGCCCTTATCAGACAGAAACGATAAAATGATGACGGATTAGTCCAAATCGGTTGTTTTGTGCGGAAATCGACGCGAATATTTTCAAACTTTTCGAGGAAAATTAACGACTCTGGCGCCGAGTTTGACGGCGATAAATCGAAAAATATTTAAAAAATGATCTCAGTAAATAGTTAAAATCTGAAAATGTGCAGTTTTTATTATTTGTTGAAAGGTTGTATTTACTTTCAGATTTGGGGTAGAAAAGTTTAATCACGTTTTTTTGTTTGTTAATTTCAAATCTACTCTTCTTTGGGGTAGCTTTCGTATGACTCTAAACACAGTCATGAAGATAAGAAAAATGAACATTTTTTAGCGTAGTAACGTAGTATTTCAGGAACCCCTGCCGATTATCATCACTTCAAATTCGACAACTTTGGAGATCATATTCATAAAAAATCGTATTAAAACCGCAATCATACCTCGGCCACTCTGATACAAATAATACTTGTTTTCAAAAAATAATAGCAGAGGGAGACAAACATCAACAGCTTGAAATAATCCAGCCACCTTTGACATTTGACCTTTACGCATCGTTGCAAAACTTAATGATTCTTAAGTTATGTAACATCATGAAGTTTGTCAAATATTTCACCCCTAAGGCTCAGGGGAAACCATGTCTATATTGGCGTGCAGGTTGATGTTCGATAATAATTGTCGTTTCCTGAAAGATAAGTTCAGTCATCCGAAACTAAATCTTGTTCTTCTATTGTATTTATCTAACGATTTTCAACATCACTGATATGTTGATAAGATGAGGAAATGAGATAATTGATAAATATAAAATGTATATGTAATTCAAAATTAATTGTGTCCCATATATTTTACGAACAAAGCTCTATAGAAGCAGTCGTTATGTGTTTGAAATATCTAAAACGCTTATAAGTAAGTGTATTGATGGTCAGGGCGTAGTCAGAAAACATTTTCAATGATTCTGAAATTTCTAATTGACAAGTTAGACCGTAACAGCTAGCCGGACCGGAAACTTTGATTATTCTAGAGTTTTGAGGAGTTTTGAGTTTTTTTTTTAAAAACGTTTCAAGATACGAAAAATTGCTATGTATGATACAGAAAAAACTCTTTTTTTTGCAATTTAAAAAAAAAGTGGGGGGGGGGGGGGGGGGGTCCGGCTTTCAAAAGCCTTCTTCTAGGTACGCTACTGTTGATGATTGCTCTCTTGTAACTATTGGTTATCACATATAAGTACATTTTTGCCACAACTGAATATTTTTAATAAAATGCATGTCCGAATATAAAAAAGCACAAGAAGCTATTTAATATCCTGCAACTGCTAGGAGTCGAACATTTTAGACAATGAGGTGCAACAAAAAAAAACACATTAGTTTTCTAGATAAGTTGAATTTCTGCCACAGCTGCGTAGCTGTTTAGTACAAAAAAGCCCGAATGAGTAACTTTTTTGATAAATCACCTGGGGTGTACGATCCATCAAAACAAAGCTGATAGATTTGCGAGATTTGCATACTTTAGCTGTGAATGTTAAGCACCAATTCGATGGATTGTTATTGCAATGCTTTTAGTCATTCAAAATTGATGGATTTGAGAAAAATCGCTAGTTTCGAAGACAAATGTGAGTTTTTTTGGCATTTTTTCACGTATTCGAAGACAGGTATCTGAAGACAGGTATCTGGACGTCGTAGAAAAGTCTTAATAACAGCAATAACAATTCAGCATTACGAACCGCAGGTTCAATTTCTCAAGTGAAAATAATTAAAATCCGTTTCTCTTTGTCTGTCAACCATTTTGTTTCCAACGCATGACATGCGATGTGAGTCATATCATGTTAATCGGTGATAATGAGCGTTGGTTTTAGCATCCAAAACTGGTTATGGAGCAGCGGTACCCAATATTCGAATATCGAATACAACTGATTGGAGTTTCAAAATCACTGATATTAATGTATTGTCATATAACGGTTTCTATTTTTTTT